TGAAGTTTCAGTCAACATGGTGCCATCATTATACATGACTTGTGATTGTGCCATATAGTTTAACATTATTTAAAGTTTGAATTATCAGAATGAATATTCATTGTTTGATTCATCTTTATGTATATATATATATATATATATGTATATGAAACTTGATGGATTAAAATATTAATTTGATGTCTATCAAAAATGAATTATTGTATGATGTATTACTTAGAGGGATTAGTAGAATTCATTCTATTATGTGATTGTAGTATTTACATCTAAAATTACCCCTGTTCCGAATCTATTTCATTTTGGAGAATTATTGTATGTCGTTAAGTATTGATTTCTATTTATTGACAAACATTATAAAAAATAAAAAATAAAAATAAAAATGAAAAACTGTGTCCTCTTATTTTGTATAAATTCTAGAAATTATCATGTTTTATTTGGATTTATTTGGTTTATTTTAAAAGGCATGAAAGACTTGAATTTATTTCTAGAATTTTCATAAAGAAGTTTTTAACATGTTGTTAAGGATGTTTTGTTTATTCTAGTTGCATGTTTAAATAGTAAGCAAATTCAATTGAATTTCATACAGTGAATTATAACATGTTCTTTTAGTTTTTATAATCTTTGAGATTCATTGGCATGTTATCTAAAATAATGTAATATTATATTACATGCATTAAGGTAATTATTTATGCATTGAAAATTTATGTGAAATAAGAGCATGTATACACTATGTATTGGACTTATGGAATTTATTTCCAACTTCTAAGCAAAATCTAATATAAGGTTGAATTACGTGGGTTTTGGCCTTGGGATTTTCATGTGATATTATTCTGATTGCATGTACTATGTGCATTAAAGATTATGTACTTGTTGTGATCATATGGATTTGCTCACATTAATAAATTATGCCATAAGTAAAAATATTAGATTTTGTTTTAAGATTAGCCACAACATCTTAAAAAACATAAAGATGTAGTGACCCTCAGTATTATGATCACATAAAGTTAAAATTTAATTTGGCATTTTTCATATTGCAATTATGTTTTGTGAATAATTTTTCGGTCCCACGGGAAAGTAATTATTTACGAAATTTAATTGGAATAATATAATGGGTTGGGTATTAAAAGGATTGAACACTCTAAACCCACAAGTATGAGTTTTATTTTCCTTAAATATTTCAGAACCCATTAGTCTTATTATAAAGTAATAGCAAATCTAATACAGTTTAGTGACCTCTACCCACAGGAAGGTTTAGATTTGTTACTGAATTTGACATTGGTTGATTCAAACTATAGTTATTGTTTTAAAGCATTAATAATGTTCTTGGTAATTGTAGTATTTTTACCTCTGTACTGTCTAATGAGTCTTCTTGTATTCTATTCTTGAACAGTGATAATTTTTTGGATTGGAAGGACAAAATCCTTCTAACATTAGGGTGCATGGACCTCGTTCTGGCACTTCATGTGGATGAACCTCCTGACGGATGAGAGTTCCGTTGCAGAAAAGAGTGCTTATGATAAGCGGGAGCAATCTAATCGCTTAAGCCTAATGCTCATAAAGTCACATATCAACCAAAGCATTAGGGGCTCAATCCCACCATCTAATAAGGTCAAGAACTACATGAGGGCTATTGAAGAGCAATTTGTTAGTTCTGACAAAGCATTGGCAAGCACCCTAATGAATAAACTATCATGAATGAAGCATAACAATTCTAGGAGTGTGCATGAGCTCATTATGGAAATGAGGGACATTGCAGCTCATCTTAAGTCCTTATAGATTGAGATTTCTGAGTCATTCCTTGTCAATTTCATACTCAATTCTCCTCTTGTGGAATATGGAGCATTCCAAATTTCTTACAACACACAGAAGGAAAAATGGTTTATTAATAAACTTTGGACCATGTGTGTTTAAGAGGATGAGAGATTGAAGCGTGGAAAAGTGGAAATGCTCATTTAGTAACACATAAAGGAGGGCAATGGAAAAATGGTAAAAATGATCAGAAATAAAAGAAGCTTGGTAAAGTGCCATTTAAAAATCATGGCAATAAGGATGCATGCTTCTTCTGTAAGAAAAAGGGTCACATGAAGACAGACTGCCCCAAGTATAAGAAATGGCTTGAGAAGAAAGGTAATCTCATATCTCTTGTGTGTTATGAATCTAATTTTGTTAATACTCATCAATATAATTGGTGGATTGATTCGTGTTCTACAATTCACATTGCTAATACCATGTAGGGTTTCCTCAGCCTAAGGAAACTGGTAGGAAGTGAACAAGGCATCTATTCGGGCAATGGGATGCGTTCACACGTCGAAACTGTTGGAACTTTCAGACTTGTTTTAAAGAATGGCTTTGTTCTGGATCTTAAAAACACTTTTTACATTCCATCTTTTTCTAAAAATTTAATTTATGTTTCTAGACTAGTACCGTTTGGATTTGAATTTCAGTTTGTTGGTGCAAATTTTAGTTTGTTTAAAGACTCTGTTTTTGTAGGATTTGGTAATTTAATTAATGGTTGTACAAATTAAATTTGGATCATGTTTTTGAACAAAATCTTTTAACCTTGCATAGTGATATTGGCATTAAGTGTAATATTGTTGATGAGTCCTCCTTTATTCTTTGGCATAGGAGATTGGGACATATCTCCATTGAGAGAATAAAGAGGTTGGTTAATGATGAAGTCCTTCCGACTCTTGATTTTACTAACTTTGGTATTTGTGTGGACTGCATAAAGGGAAAGCAAACCAACAAGACCAGTAAAGGTGCCAAAAGGAGTGAGGAAATTCTTGGAATCATACACACTGATATTTGTGGACCATTTACTCCACCTTGTCTGAATGGTCAGAGATATTTTATCTCATTTATTGATGACTTCACACGATACATGTATATCTACCTCTTGTTTGATAAGGTCGAGCCACTTGATGCCTTTAAAGTTTATAAAACAGAGGTAGAAACACAAACAAAAAAGAAAGATAAAATTGTGAGGTCAGACAGGGATGGAGAATATTATGGGAGGTACACAGAATTAGGACAATTACTAGGTCCATTTGCTAAGTTTCTTAAGAAGGAAGGCATTATTGCACAATATTCAATGCCTGGTACACCACAACAAAATGGTGTTGCTGAAAGAAGGAACAGAACACTTATGGACATGGTAAGGAGTATGCTTAGTTATTCCAATGTGCCTATGAATTTATGGAGTGAAGCTTTGAAAACCGCTGTGTATATCTTAAACAGGACTCTATCCAAGTTGTTCCCAAATATCATTTGAGTTATGGAAAGGATAGAAGCCAAGTTTAAGACACTTACACGTTTGGGGTTGTCCAGTTAAATGTGAGGGTGTATAACCCACATTTAAAAAATTTGACCCCAGAACAGTTAGTGGTTTTTTAATAGGCTATGCGGAAAACTCCAAGGGCTACAAATTTTATTGTCCTTCAAATTCACTTTGAATTGTTGAAGTCAGAATACTAAGTTTATTGAGGAAGTGTTACTCTAGTGGGAGTTACCCTTGAAAGATAGAGTGGAAGGAATCACGGGGTTCAGATACAACACCCATGAATATAGGTGAATTGGTTGTCTTTCAAGATAATCAACCCAATATCCTTGAAGATCAACAAATTCAAGAACTTCCACCACAAGAGGAACACGTCAACATAGAGCCTGTAGCTCAAGTCCCAATTGAGACTACAGAATTAAGGAGATCCTCACGAGCTAGAAAGTCAGCAATTTCTGGTGATTATTTTGTATACTCAATGGAGTCTGATTTTGACATCAGACCTAATGATGATCCTATTTCGTTTTCCAATGCCATGAATAGGGATGATTCTAAATTATGGTATGATGCCATGAAGGAAGAGTTGGAATCTATGGCTAAGAATCAAGTTTGGGAAAATGTCGAGTTGCCTAAAGGGGTTAATGCGGTTGGCTGTAAATGGGTCTATAAAACCAAGAAAGACTTCAATGGCAATGTCGAACGATATAAAGTCAGACTTGTAGCTAAAGGTTTCACTCAAAAAGAAGGCATCGATTATCATAATACCTTTTCTCCGGTTTCAAAAAAGGATTCATTTAGAATTATCATGGCATTAGTGGCTCATTTTGATTTAGAGCTACATCAAATGGATGTGAAAACAACATTTCTGAATGGGGATCTTGAGGAAGAAGTATACATGAAGCAACCTGAAGGTTTTTGTTCTGATAAAGATAGTCACTTAGTTTGCAAGCTCAAGAAATCCATATATGGACTAAAACAAGCTTCCCGACAGTGGTATTTAAAGTTCCACAATGTTATTACTTCATATGGTTTTACGGAGAATGTTGTGGACAACTGTATATACTTTAAGGTTAGAGGGAGCAAATACATTTTTCTAATTCTATACGTGAATGACATTTTGTTGGAAATGGTAGAAAAATTCTGGGTAAAACTAGAATTTTTTCTCAAGTTTGGTCTATTTTTTAGGTGGGCCCCGAGCGTCGATTTACTCGGGTCAAAGTGGTAACGCGTTCTATGCCGCGTTGCGATTCACGTGGTATATTTGGTTGCTCAAAACCATTACTGAGTGAATAGGAAATTGAAGCCAAAGTGTGCTCCATGGAAATGGAATTTTGGTGGAAATTCCTTAAGGTTGTAAATTGGCTTGTCCCACATTGATTTGGTGGGAAGTTTTGAAAGGGTTTATAAGGCTTGGGTGAGATACTTGGGGTGCCCCAAGGGGTACCCAAGTGTTTTAGAATGAGAGGTTATGGGCAAAATGGGCTAGACCCATTGGACCCAAACATCACCACACGCGTGCGCCGTCCGTTCGGTCAGGCAGGCTGGGCTGGGCCTGGGCTTGGGCGCGAGTGCGTGGTGTGTGCATTGGGTTGGGCTTCTAATCTTTTTGGGCCAAAAACATTTGAATTTAATTTTATTTTTTATTTAGT